TGCTGAAATGAATGGGAGTTGGGCAAGACTACTTTCCATAAACTTGCAGAGATACAGGATAGCCTATGCAATCTGTAAAAACCAAGGAAAGCGGCATGCTCCTCCACCCCTTCCTGTTTTACTCTTGTATCGGAATGATTAGTTATCTTTGGTCTAGACATGGATTGAACCATTTCATAAAATCACCTTTGTAAGTTCAAATTGAAAAAGTCCATTTGGGTTGGAGGAAAGAATGAAGAGCAGAAGGGAGATGACAGTGTGAATTGAGTTTCAGTTTGGTTCCCTTGCAGCCTTGACTGAAGCTGTTCAAGCCAATTCATGTTTGGTAAACAATTCCGCACAGTTCAGAAATGGTTTCAGTTTCTGATCCATAAATTTATTGCAGCTCAGAGAGTCTGATTTCTTACAGTGAAGGAAGGGGTAAGGATTCAGGATGTAAGAAGAACTAGAACTCTAAAGGGAACACATGTATAACGTATTTTTTATTTGCACTGCAGGTAAAGTGTAAAGCAATGCTGTTGCGTCCTATTTCAAGTCCAAATTTGTAAAAATTCATGCAGAAATGTTCCTAATTTCTTCTGGTTGTGGCCAGGGAATAAGGAAATATTATTTATTTTTATTTAAAAACTACCTTGGGGAACAAAAGGATGACACTCTAATTGCATGAAGCATCTTTAATGGCATTGCACTGATGATATATTTTAATAATGTACTGGCCATGTTCTGACACACACAAGATACTTTTTTCTTATGGTCTTGCTACATGCTCCTATGTCTGTCTCCCTGCCCTTTCTTTCCCAAGAATTACTGTGTCAGGCAATTTGTTTCTAGGATAACTTGCAATCTGTACTGGAGCCAGGCTGGGAGGCAAAACAATATAGACTGGGGAGGTAAGAAGTGGAGGGAAACATTTTAGCTCCCCTCACTTGCATATCCTCTTTAAGATCAGAGTCCCCCATTCTATTATATACAGTTCCATGGCATCTGTTTTGGGCTAGAGATTTTATAACTAAGATCTGGGTTCTGCTTTCATTTCAGGGTGGAGTCTGTGGTTGCGATTCATTTGAGTTTTCTAGAATTGCTGTTTCCTCTTGTCCCTTCAGCTTCCATGTGGCTGTTTATTCATCTGTCCTTCTCTCAGTCAGCAAGTCACACTTCCTGCATGGTCTGAGAGGTCAAACTTTCCTGTCACATTCAGCAGTCCCTAACACTGGCAAACACATGAACCATCACCCCCCCCCCCCAAAGGATGCCTTCCATCAAGGTGGCTTGCTCTAGACCAGGGTTGGGCACCTATTGGCACGTCTGCTGAGCAGCAGCAGCACACCAGACCATTCTGATCAGAACACAGGGCCAGTTCTCTGCACCAGGAACCAAAGTGACCCTTCAGGTAGCATTGCCAACTGGCCTGGAGAACAACGTCCTGTCCTTTTTCTAGAGGTTTCATATGTTGAAACTGGCAGCTGAAGCTTTTCATGGCATGTCTCAGACACTTTTTGCTCCCTTATTAAACAGTTTTTCGCCTGCACTGTTTCCCAATCCTGTAATCCTAGTCCTATGGCATTGCTGGCCCAGGAAGGCAATGGCAATCCACCTCTTCTTTCTCACTAGCCTTGACAACCCTATGGGGTCACCAGGCTGTGACTTGATGGCACTTTACACACATACACACACTGTGTTGTTGACTGGAGGTTCTTGCTGTATGATTGAATTTCTTTTCATATGTTGTAATCCAATTTGAGTCTCAGTGAGAAAGGCAGGTTATAAACAGTGTTCCCGCTATGCTGAGTTAGTGTGAGCTAGCTCACAGTTTTTTAGCCTCCAGCTCACATATTTTTGTCTTAGCTCAGGGGAAGGACGGCTCCAGAGCCAACTAATTTATGCAGTAGCCAAATTGCTTGCTCACAACTTTAACGCCAGGAGCTCACAAAGTAGAATTTTTGCTCATGAGACTCCACAGTTTAGAGGGAACATTGGTTATAAATGAAGCTTAAAAACAACAACAATAACAACACCTCAATGAACTCCTTTAAAGGGACAAGACATTTTTCTCTAGGCCAGTTGACAACCATGCCCTGAGATGGCTGGCTAAGTATTGTACTGCTCCTGACCACCCCACCCCACCACCACCCCACCACCACCCAGTTTCGGTCACCACAACACCTACATCCTCGCTGTAAATGTTTTGTTGGGGTTTTTTGGTTTTGCACTTTGGCAAAAAACAAAATGTCTACCCCTGCTCCAGACAATTAACTAGTCTGTGCTAGGAAAGAAGAAAGGCTTGCAAATTAGTTTAAAGCACATAAAAGAGGTTGTTGCCCAGTGTTTGCTTTTCCAAGCTAAGAAGAAGAATAGGAGCCCTCGAGGGGGCACTGCCTTCTTTTCTCTCTTCAGTATGCATATTTAAATACAAACACCAGGAGCCCAAGGCAGGAGGGTGGGGATGTTACAACAGCATTTCCCTCTCTTTAACAAGGCTTTAGAATATGAAATAAGGTTTTCTTTTTCTTGTTTTAAAAACCAAGGACACGGCTTGCTTAAGTCTTAATTGAAATAGTTGCTACAGTTTCATTTTGCTTGAGACCAATTTGTAATCCAAAAATACATATATCCAGGGGGAGGGGGAGAG